TATCATACAGTAAGACCAATCAAATTAATACCAGCAGATTGCTTCTATTCAGGACAAAAACTAAATCTGGATACTCCCACAGTAAGTGCTCAGTGGGAGGTTTGCTCGACTGAGGGATGGTCAAAACGAGGGCATTTAGGACCTTGACTCTGGCCTTGCTGTAGGGGCTCCTTTTCAGGAGCTCACATCATGCAGGGACACACAAGGCTCTGCCTGAATGCAGGACTGGCCAAGGTGTCCTCTGCCCCCAGGCACGTTGCTCAGCCTCACCATCCCACACCCAGGGCAGGCACAGGCAGAGCCCCACAGCCACCATCCAGCCTGGGCTGGGCTCACGGGCAAGGCGAGGGCACTGGCAGCCAGGTGGGCTCCCAGGCAGGACCAGGAAGGACAAGGACCATCTAATGGCACCCCCAGTTTCTTGGGCAGCAGTAAGACTTGGGGAGTGACCTGTAGCACAGCTGGTAAAAATGCAGGTGTTTGAGAAGTACTGACATATCAAATATGGGTTTTCTCCAGCTCAGGGACAATCACCTTACACAGATTATAATCCTGGACTAGAGACAATATCCAAAACACACATTTTCTGAGAGTTTTCACCCTACATTCAAAAGATCGATTTGTACACACCACTAATCCAAAAAACATAGCCAGTAGATTACAAAATGTACAGAATTCAAAAATATATTGCCCCATCCAGCCTAGCCCCATCCAACTCTCCTGGTAAATCAGACTCTTCAGTAAAAGTGAGTACTTCAGATTAATCCCACCCACCTTCCCATCCAGGAAAAAAATTAAGTCAAAAATCACAGAAATGATCAGGTACTGGGAGAGATCAATACCTGGGAATTTCTATCACACTGTCATTATTCTGAGATTATCATCTAATTACCAAGGCAACAGGATAGCAAGAGATTCACCTACCCAAGAAAACAGCCATGAGGGCAGCAGGAACGCCAAAACCAAGTGGGTAACATTGCTGTTTGCTATGAATGCCACACTCTGAAGCTGAAGTAAAAATAACATCAAATAAAAGACCCAGTCAGCACTGCTGATGTTTTCCAAATGGTTTCTGGTCTTTGCATTCAGTGAAAACTTTTGGGGGAACAACAAATCAGTCTACCAACACCCTCAGAGTGGAGGATCAGTATCCAACTTATCTCTCAATATTGGAAAGGGGATTTATGTATCACAGAACAGTTCAAGGGGCAAGGGACCTCTGGGCATCATCCAGGCCAAGTGCCCTGCTCAGCTAGGGCTACCTGGAAGCAATTGTCTAGGAATGTGTCCAGATGGCTTTTGAGTATTTCCACAGATGGAGACTCCACAACCTCTCTGGGCAGCCTGCGCCAATTGCTGATCACCCTAAAAGTGAAAAAGAGTTTCCTGATGTTCAGAGGGAACCTCCTCTATTTCAGCTTGTGCCCATTGCCTCTTGATCTGACACTGGGTACCACTGAGGAAAGCCTGGCTCTGTCCTCTTCATTCCCCATCAGGGATATTTCTACTTGGTTAAAATGCCCCCTTTGCCTTCTCTTCTCCAGGCCAAACAGCCTAATGCCTCTCAGGATCTCCTCACAGGAAATTTACATCTAGTTTTACACTGAGACATGAAGAATTACACTAGAAGGGTCAAAAGCATGTCCTTAGTGAGAAAGGAACTAGATTACAAAAGTTTTGGGCCAAGTTCATAAGCAAAGATTTTAGTGATGTAAGTGTAGCTTGTTGAAACAAAACCACAATCATCAGCCCCCTCCCCTCCTTGGCATTAGTCACAGATTTGACTCTCACTGACTTCAGCAGTATAAAATAAAAGAAAAATCATTAAATTCTTCACCATACTTCTTCTAAGAGGAGATTTAGATAATATGGTTGGGGAAAAAATGGTAGCTTGCAGATAATTCATGTCTTGGTTTAATTGTATAAGTCTTCTGGTCAAGCCTTTCCAGTCTGGAACAGGTTATCATTTCCTTCAGCTCAATTTGTCATTTTTTTTCCAAGGAATTTTTCACCCTGTATCAGCAAGGAAGTAAACTACATGCTGTGCCTCATGCATCTCTCCTTTTTTTNCTACCCCTGGCAGCACTCCAAGCAGAGCCCTGCAGGGCTTCCCCAGCTCAGGAGACAGGCTTGAAGGCTGAGCTTTCACTGTGTCAGATAAAGGCTCTGTGCCCACACAGGATTTCCATAAACATTTTACATAAAACACATGAGCAAGCTCATTAATATAAGACCAAGTACAAGATATGAACTTTGAAATCCTTGCTTGTTAATCATGCCTGGCCGTAATACATCTCTATAAGAAAAGTGTATTTGTGAAAATCATTATTTAGTCCACAATCCACAACAGATGAAAACAGGAAAATACTATTGTTTTTGACACAATATTAAATCAAGTAAATCTTCAGAAATCATGGAAAGCGATTATTCCAATTCTTTCCTACACTGCTGTGGAGAAGTACCTTCACAACCGAGATAGTTGCAAGTGATTCAGCTATGCAGGTGATTCAAGAACATATTTTCCTAGAGAACAAGAAACATTCTGAAAGTGCTAACACACCCAGTTCAGGGCGCATGCAGGTACATGAGTGTTGCAATCCTGGATGCTGATAATATTAAACTTTCTGCGCTTAAAGGCACAGACCCACAAGAGAACGCTGCATTTGACCTGAGGCTGTGGAGAAGGCTTCCAAAATTGATTGATAGCTGGGATACAAGTGTGTACTTGTTGAGAAGTGTGTAATTTCACAGGGTGGAAAACTTAGAGTTTGGGGTTTTAGAATATAGAAATAAATATGAAGCAAGATGGAGGTTTTAGGATGGAGGCAGGTTGTTCATCTTTACCTTCTTCTTCCTTCTTCTTTATGGGTTTGTGTGGTGTTTTTTAATTGGGCAGAAAAGTCCGCATAGTGGGCTTCGAGAGATCAGTTATTGGGTTAAAAGTGAAAATAATCTAGGTGTCCTTTCTTAACTTGATACTTCAGGCTTAAAAGGCCTTGTAACAAGAGATTATTAGCCATTTGTGCCTTGCTAATGATAGGTTGTTGAACTCATGGTTGTGAGACTGTTTTACTGATAAGAAATAATAAACACCTGAGTCTGAACATGAACAACTGTCTCCAGTGCCTTCAATCCAGACCCAGAGAAAACGATACATGAGTTATTGAAGTTATTGGCAATGTCCCTTCCACAACCCACCAGAGAAGATACACTGAAGATATCAAGGTGTCAGCAATAGCCCATCTTCATAGCAGCTCCTTGGTTATTTCCACTTGTTGGCCTNAAATTGCTGGGGTTTGTTTAGGATCATGCTATTCTTCACAAGCAAAAGACAAAATAACTTTCTTATTTAAAAAGATGAAAAATTATTTACTTTGTCACAGGGATTAATATATTCCTACATGCAGAGATGCTTCTGTAATTAGCATGGGCACATTTCCAGAGGAGAAGGCTCTCTCCCCCCTTCCTTTCCCAGGAAGCAATACAATTCTATCAAGTGTGATACTTCACAGGTATTGGAAGCTGTGACACATTTGTACCTTAGTGGAATTACAACGTGCAGTAGGCATACAAGCTGCTAGCTCCAGCATGTCTCTTCAGATCTAGTACTTCTGGCCCTAAAGGCAATGAAGGTTTTCAACTGGCTTGTTTTTGAGAGTACCTCATCTCTGAGAAGCTGGATGACACACTGAAGACTATTTGCTAGATAAGTCCAGTGTGTCAGAGAACAGAACCTGAACTTTAACTGGACTGGACTGCAATCCAACACACCTTTTCTGGTGTTTAACAATCGTCAACAAACATGTGACCTTACCCATGAGCCGTGGGATGACTATAGCAGATATGAAACTTGCAACAACAGTGTTCTCATAGAAGTAAGAAAAGAACTTACTTCTTTGGTTTTCCTACAGTAAAAACAGGAAGATGTTTAGAAAGGCTTATGTTATATTGCACTAAATAGTTTATTTAGTAGTTGTTTTGCACTGGGTGATGGGAAGTTTGTACTGGGTATGTTATGTTACTGAGATTGTCATTGCCCCTTCCTCATCACATGGTTTCTCCCCATGCCCTCCTTTCTACACACCTGGTGGTCAGTCCCATGGGTACCCCTCCCCTCGCCCCTCCCCAGTGGTATCCCATTGGCCGCAGTCCTCTTTCCCACCCCCATCCCTTTGGGTATAAAACTCCACTGCAAGGGTACCACACCCTCCTTTCTACCTGGGTGGTTGCTGCCGCCCGGAGTGTTCTGTCCCAAGCCAATAAACAGGATACTTGTACCCACGTGGAGAAGAGTGCTTCTCATCTCTTACTTTCTGTCCACGCAAGTCCGTGTGGGCTTGGGTTCGAGCTAGCCGGATTGGACCCACACAAAGCCCAGAGGCCCACGGATTACTGCAGGCTTAGCCACAACCCCATTGATGTGCCTAGATCAAAAAATCAGCGCCTCTGTTTTCAAAGTTCAAGATAAATAATTAACAAGCTCCTTTTTCAGCTCCTCAGGAAAACCCTGCAGTAATGCACCTGTCTAAACATGTATAATATTAGAGTAATAAAACAAAACATTAGTTAGAGAATCTGTATAACTGAAAATCTGTAAGACATTGTTACCTGATCATCTTCAAACTGATCTGCACCAAATGCTGACACACACGGTTTGATCGCACCAGTACCGAAGGCAATAAGGATCAAGCCAACCATGGACAGAGCACTGGAACAAAGGAGAAAAAAAAAAAAATTTTGTGTTAGTTCTTACAGCATACATAATAGACTGGTTGAAAGACAGTTGAAATTCAAGTAACATAAACTTAAGTTTTCCTGTCCTTGACCAGCCTGGGAAAAAACCGTGTACAAGGCAACTCACGTGTGCACTGCTACATTATCGGGAGAGCCATCCTGGTTGTGATCTGTCAGGTCATTTATGGAGCTCACAGTCAAGACTGCCTGCCCAATTATATAGACAATGGACAGGTAGAGAATGGTCCTGTTGTCAAGAGAGGAGATACATTTTCTTAGATATGTTAACACACTAACACCAAGATAATTCCACAGCTAATGCAGACTTCTGCTTACCTTAAAGATTCCGGGTAATGAAAAAACCTAACAGATACCATGAGTTATGGACTGAACTTGTCAGAAGCTACTATAAAAATCAGGTCACATGCCACAGCCACGGTGTTTCTATTCTTTTTATTATTAATATTCTACATAGCCTTTATTTAATTAAGCAAGGCATAACAACAAATGGACTCTATGGGTATCACTAGGTCAGAGGAAAATACTTATATATCTTCAATGGTTGCCTTTTTACTGATCAACTCAAGAATTCCCTTTTCATCTTTTTTATAAGCTGAAGATCAAATGGACTACTCTGCAAAACTAAAATCTGCAATTTACACTGATTTATTTTTCTGTGTTATTTTATATTTCAGTTGCAGGAGTAAAGAAAAAAATAAAAAATCTGCTTCACACATGGCAATACCCCTGAAATACTGTTGTGAACAACAACTCTATAACACACCTTCTTCGCTGTAAGTGTACCAGCAATTTACACTCAGATCTGAGTAAGAGCTGCACTCAAGTGTGCAGACTGCAGGCTTTCAGCCTGACTACCTTGGCCAGGAGGAGCCTAGAAAAATAGTACTGCATAATCACCTGGCCTCCCCTTTTTATGATCCAATCCTCATTTCTGTAAATAAAGGAGTGTTCCATTTTAAGTACACAGCTGAAGTTTAATCCATGTTTGCTTGTGTCCTTGGGTGGGCCTCCATTCAATAGGCACAGACACAGGTCTCCAGGTTGGAGGAAAAGCAGGAGAAACGCAATGCAATGGTGTGAAATTATTTACAAACCCAGCTTTCAGGAGTAGTCCCAACCCTGGTGCAAGGTAGGAGAATGAAGGACAATGCTCAAAGATCTAGAACAGCTATTTGACATAGGCAAGAGATCCTCACAGCAAGCTTGGAGCAGCGCCCTGACACAAGAGGGACATTGACCAAGTTCCCCTCACTTTAAAACAAGGTTTTGCTGAATTAAAATTGACCTTGCCTGCAGCAGAGTAAAAAACTACATAAAGTGGGGCAACGTGGAGTTGGCAGTTCAGTGGTATTTAAAAGATGGACTTTAATGGGGTGGGTTTTTTAATTGTGCTTCCATAGGGTTGCTTTATTTACCTAGCAACCTGGGAAAAAGTCTCCAATCAAAGTTGAAACTGAGCTGATCAGGAGTGAAACTTCTGGGTTTTATTTGTGAGGCTTACAAACCCACTACAAAGCCATTCATAATTGGCACTGCATTGATGGCACACAATTAAATAACTGTGGTTGCTGTACTATTTTCCCCAAGAAATTCACACCCCACGATCCGTGAGCATGTCCCGTCACACTTCTTGACAGGCATTGCACCAAGTACATGGATTGTGGAAGATTGGAGCCTCTCCTTTAAGGGTCATTAACAGTGCCTAGGTTATCTCCCCTTCCACTCGACATCATAGATTTTTTTTTTAAATTCTTGTTTAAGCTTTCCTCATAACACCTTGCTGCATTTTTGGGTGTTAATACCTAATGGCATATCCTAAAGCATGTTTTCTCTTGTTTAAGCCATCCTAGCAAGCTCCTGTTAAAGGTCTGGGCCTTTCAGTTGCAGCACGGGCATATCCAAGTACCAAAGGAGAAGATGTAAGGTCTGGAAAATTTCATCTTGATAAAACATGAAAAAGCCAAAATAAATTTAAAAAATAAACCATAGCATGTAGACAAGCAAGTGCACAATATTTTTAGGCTGCAATCTGTAAGACATCCAGCTAGCTGCAATGAGTTTGCACTGCTCAGAGCAGCTGCACAGAGCTCACGGGGCTGTGGTTGCAGCGCTGGGCTCCCAGGGGCTGTCCCTACAGCGGAAGAAGACAGCGCAGCTGACTGCACAGCACATCTCTGATCTCTGGGAGACCTTTGGCAAGGTCTTACACTCATGGCTCACAACCCTCCATAAAATCTTTACTGTGCTTTTTCTCAGGCAAAGTAAACACTTTTAGAATCAAAACATCAGGAAAGGAGAGAGAGATAAAGCTCTTGGAAATAACCTGGTTACATTTCAAAGCACTGCAGTGGTACTATGCTGACCAACTAGCCTGCAGCTAAAGACACTGAAGACATCATTTGGAGAAAGAATTCCTAATCAGCAAGACCCCCTCACTGATCTGTCAATTCTGAAATCACATAGTATTTTAAAACTTATTCTAAGGCCCAATTAACACCAGACAACACAGTAATTCACTATTTCATTGGCCACTTGCAACAGGTAGATAGACTGCCCTATGTAATTATAAATCCCAGTATCTATTTTCACAGTTTGGTGAATACTCTTCTTAGTTTCGCTTACTTTTTGCCCAGGTGAGAGAAAAAACATGCAGCATGCTGGGAAAGCATGTTACCACCCTTGATCAACTAGGAGATCTGGAACATTTGTTAACTCACAGTGCAGTTTCAAGTCTGAGCTGAATCAATGAAAACCTCATTCTTTGGTGAAATAAAACAAACTATCCTGGAGCAGGCAACACCAGCTCTGAAGCTGATGTTCACAGCTGCAGTTTTAGGTGATGATTTAAGTAATACCAGTTTCAGGTGAGCTTTGAAGATCTTTGGCTGCTCTCTGAGGAAGCACTCACTTAAACTTTCCCAGCCAAGAGTCTGCAATGATGGCTCCAAGGATCGGCGTCAAATGACACAGAGCCACAAATGTGTGGTATATGGCAGCAGTGAACCTGACATCCCAGCGCAGGAAATTTATGCAATATATAATGAGCACACCTGCAGGAAGAACATCAAAACAACAGGTTACAAACCCAAGTCAGGCCTGGGCAACACTCAGCACAAGGAGATGAGGGACATACCTGCTGTGACAAAGAAGGAGAACCGCTCGAAGAAGTCACTGTTGATGATGAATGTGGCTCCCAAGGGGAAGCGAGAGCGGGGCCTCTGGAGGCAGAGAGAATGTGAGCTCAGAGCTGTGCAACCCAGACTAACACTCTTCACTGCAAGCCACAGCTCAAGCAAGTTCAACATGGACTCAGTGGGAGTGGGAAGGTACTCAGGGTCTGTACACTGCACAGGCTTCTGTGGGAGGACAGGAGTTTACCTGAACCAAGAGTCAGTTGTCACTTTCCTCTCTTGGTCCCCAGAGGTCTGCACACCTCTCATTTTGCAAGAGACCTTCAGCAATGCTAGAAATGACCTATAAGTGTTGTACTATGCACATTTGAGGTCTCCAGCACCTAACCCTTACAGCAATCTTGACTAGTATCAACCCAAGGTCAACCAAAAATGCACCAAACCCCTGCAGTACCCCTGTTAGAAGCTCAGGGCTACTTTTAAGCACCTGTAATTAAAACAAATACACATTTAAACTTTTCATTCAGGCAAATCCCTGAGGAAAACTACTTATACTTAAAAATATTCTGCCTGATGAAGAAACCTTCATTTCTTCAGACCTGGTAACAAAACAGACTTTATTCCTAACCTGAACTGACATGGCTTTGGCTGCCAGGTTCACTGAGCCTTCACCTGCTGCAACAGGCATGACCATGTTCATCATCATGCAGTTCTTGCCATTGAGACAGTGGTTTAAGAGCATACATCAGGTACAAATCTGACATGGTCACTAGAACTGTAGCTTCATTTCTGATCCCCTACTTGGCTTCATGGAGTGGATGAATATATAATTTCTAAAAAAATTATTGGGGATGCAATTTAAACATAATCCTACCTTTTAACCTTTTTTATGAGTTTAACCCTTCTCCATAGCAAAGAATCAAATTCTAAAGACATTTCCAGAGGCAAAAGAGTTCTACTCCGTGCTCAAGTTTAATTAAAAATGGCATTGTTTGAATTGCAAAAGCTTAGGAATTCAATGAATCTTTATTTTGTGTGAAACAGGAAGAAGTTAACTTTGCAGTTCAAAAGGAAAAAACATACACGGAAATCATGCCTGACACAAGTAAATTGCAAGCCACTGTTTCCAGCAAAGTCTCATCAAACAGTGCAACATTTGGAGACCTGGGTGCTACAACAGGCTTTTTTTGGGAATCCTACAAAAGAAATGAAAATGAGAGTGGCAGGAGCATTGTTGACTAAACTCAGTCATGAGGATGCCTGAGCAGCACTGACCTTCTTTGTTTGCAGAACCAAGTACATACTGCATATCCTACCCATGGTTTGATAAGCAGGCTTCACAGAAAGAACTCCATCTCAGCTGAAGCCAGTGCCAGGTGGGACTCCTCTAGCTTCAGAGAACAAAAATTTTGAGCCCTAAATATAAACTTGTGACTCTTGATTTATCACATCCTC